GAATATTAGATGAGGCCTAAGTGATATAACTCATAATAGATTTTATCTCATTCTTCTTAACTTTTAAGCTGCAAAATTACTGATTAAAGTTTTATATTCAATATTTTCTAACATATTATTTTTGATAGATAATATTGTTAAACCATTCAATATATCTTATAACATGGTCGATCTTAAATAAGATTTTAGTAATTTTAATTTTGAAAAACTTCTTTTAGTGGAAGCAACTGTTACGGGTATAATCAATAGTACACGATAAACAATACAAGTATTTGGAAAGAATCTAACCACTTTATATAGTTCAATACTTCAATTGGACTATTAATATCAATTTTTAAAATTTCCCTAAGCACTCTCAATTCTGAAAAATAATAAACTCTATCTAAATCTTTTGAGTAAACTAACCACCTTCTTTCATGTTTTTCTCCATTTGATAATTTTTTAATATAATATAATGTAGAAAAGTGTTTATTATTTTCAACTTTAGGAAAATCTACTTCTTCATGTTTAATTGGACCTTTTTCAACTATTAGATCTATAAAATTTTGATCAATGCGTTTCCATTGTCCAGGATTATAAATATTGATAAAAATTGAATTCGATATCTCATTCATCTCTAAATTATTTTTTGTTGGCCTTCTTGTTTTGATTATGTTTAATAAACAATTTACTTCTAATGTTGTTTGTCTACTGTTTGTGTTTTTCATATTTATTCTAGGCAAACAACGAGTTGGAGGATGGATGGAATTGCGCTTCATCGAACATATCTAATGGAGGTTAGTGGAATAGTGGTTGAAGCCTATACAATTCAAGTTAAAGATCTAATTACAAGCTTCATCCGCAAGTGTACCAAGTTGAGCTCATTGAAGACCTTCATCAAGCTTGAGAAATCTAGTTTAGGTTTTATATTATGTGTGTTAGATACTCTAAGCTCAATATCATATACACACATATTTTATTGGTTTCCTTATATATATATATATATTATTATTGTGATTTGGTTTAACTACTTAGATATGAAACAAATATATTTTCATATACATACTCATATGTTTCATTTTCTATTGTATTTGTAAAAATATTATATTCTTAGTTTTTGGACTTAAAAATAATCATATACATATTTTATTAAGTCTACATAATTATTGTGCAAAGTTTCAAAACATGGTTTAGCCTAAATGTTAAAATTCATATGTTTACCTTTTCGTGTTTTGGACTATTTTACAAAATGATGATATTTCTCATTTGGGAAGTCCTTTTAGAAAACCGGTTTTTGTAGCATGTGTATTATCATGTCTACAATCATTTTCCAAAGTTTCATAATTTTTGGAATTTATTTGATATTTTTAAATAGTGTTTTAAAATCGGCAAACTGTTTTCAAAACCTAAAATTTCATATATCAGTTCACGGTTGACCGCCACGGTCGACCGCACCCATGTTTTTTCAGTGGTCGATCGTCAGTCTGTAAGTTCTCACGGTCGACCGCCGCGGTCGACCGTAGCCTATTTTGATTGTTTTCTCAGTTTCAATGACCTTCGCGGTCGACCGTGATTTTCCCACGGTCGATCGCCGATCGCCCAACGGTCATATTTGGTACAGAATCATATTTTTGAATCGTTGGGGTTTTTGGTTTTTTGTTTGGGGTTCTTGGCTGAGTTTTTGGGAGGCTATAAATACCCCCTCGATCTCAGTTCTCAATCCAATCTAAGAAATGTTTTAAACAAGTTTTAAAAGAGTTTAACTTTGGTTTTAAGTTTGTTTTAAGAAATTAATTTCACAAGAGTTTGAGGAGATCATCTATTTGGTGTTTGAGCATCCAACTATTCTCCTTCCACTCTTGATCTATTGAGAAGTTTTCTAAACTCAATCTAGCTTTATATTTTATATTGTTTGATTGTCATTTTATTAAGCTAGTATTTATATTGAGTTTAGTTGGTTTTATTTTCTCTTTGTTTACACACACACAACCATTGAGCTTATTGTATTTACCTTCATAGTATAATTGGGTTGTGGGATTATGTAACTAAGAGAGTGAGCTTATAATTCGTTCTCATCCATTATAGAGAACAAACACTTTGTATTATGCTTAATTATGAGATCACTTTGTAATACACTTGTACACCGAGAGAAGTATGTGGCGAAAGTCGGGGATCGTCCCAAGAGGAGTGGTGTCGGTTGACGAACCTAGGGAGAGGTTGTATCCGAGCATTTGAGGGAGACACGTCTAGTTCAACACTTGAGAGGGTGTAGAGTGGGATTGCAAGAGTGTGTTAGTTGTAGAGTTTTCGGTAAACTAGAAAACCGTATTGTGTGGTGTAAACGTTATTCGGGTGAACGTAGAAAACCCGGTTGTGATAGTAGAGATCTCCTCGAGGTGAGGAGCGGAGACGTAGGTCAAGTGATTAGACCGAACTCCGTGATCATATCATTTTGTTTGTGATTGCTTTGGCGTTCTGATTCTTGTATTCATATCTTATATCGTATTTGCATATTCCTTGTTGATTATATTACCCACTATCTAGTTTAGATTGTTTACCCTTGTGTTAATTATATATCTTTGCATATATCTCATAGTATATCTCATTGCTAGGATATTTACCTTTGTTCATATTGTTTATTCTTGCTTGTAATATATTGTATATCTCTTTTGCAAGAATAATTTGTTAATTAGTTTTAATTGACATAAAATCGGATTAGATTAGCATAAGACCCTAATCACCCCCCTCTAGGGTCTAACATTTTCTTGGCCCTCATCCTCATGTGAATCTTCTTTATATTCTTCATTAAAATTAGGAGTACTAGCTTTTTCTTCTTGAATATTATTATCGTTAATATCGTTATTTTGTCCTAAATTCTCAACATATTCTTCTAATTCATTCTCAAGTAAAAAATCTAAGGTTCATCTATTCTTTCTTCTTCTGTTGAAGTTAATGTAACATTATCTTTATTACTAAAAACAAATTTATCAAGAGCTCCTTGTTGAGATCGAATTAATTTTTCAACTCTTTTATTTTTTTTTATTTTTGACAACCACTTTCATATTTTTTTATTAGGCATTCTTTCAAAATATAAAATAGCAAATAAAAAGCTTTCAATGTATATCTAATATCTACTGATCTAGAGCCTACAATATCTCTAATTAAACATAAAATTAATATGAATAAATGATAAAAAAATTAAATAGGTTAGAAATGTGTCACTGTGGGAACTGGGAAGAACTAGAAGCTGGGGCCTAGGCTTGCTGGCCTGGCCGCCGGCGGTCAAGGGGTGCGCGGCGTGCGCCGGTGTCGCTGTCACGGTCATGGTCCGTGGGAGCCTGGGACCGGAGGCTTCGAAAAGGAGACTGAGACTCGGCGGGCGAGCAGAGGGAGCGACCGTCGCCGAGTAAAAAGAGGAATTAGAGGAGGCTGAGCGGAGCCTGAGGAGCTTGGGGTTGGGGAAGATGAGAGAGAGGATCAGAGGAGATTTAGAATTTCAGAGAATCAGATTTTAGAGGGGGCGGCGGCTGGGAGATTGATTTTGGATGTAGGATTAGGGTTTAGCTTATAATTGGTGGGTACGCTTACCCAACTTGAGGCCCAAGGCAGAGCCTTAGCTGCCTTATGCTAGGGTCAGCCCTGGCTGTTGTAGATGGTGTTATCTTCTGTTGGAGAGGGGCGCCGGTTTAATGTTTGGAATGGTTTGTAGGGGAAAGTTTAATATATGTGGGGTTGCATTTGGGTTTGGGATAATGTCTTGAGGATGAGAGGCAACTGAATTAATGGGATATATTGAGAATAGCCAAGAGAAATGAAGGGGACCGAGCGAGGCTGGAGCTTGGAGGAGTCGTATGGTCGAAGCCACGGCTAGCATAAGCACCCAAACACTTTTGAGACGAGTATAGTTCGGAGCATGATGAAAGAGCATCTCAGAAGGAGACTAATTGAGGTTTTAGTATAGGTGTGGGGAGTCTGTTTATGAGACAAGCGGCGGTTCGAAAAGTATGAGACCAGTATTCGATTGACAAAATTTTGCAACAGATATCAGATTATGGTTGTTTGGGTCTGGTATGGTTTTTTCCGAAGGTCGATGCAAGCTGTTGACGTAACCGATCAGGGCAGAGTAGAGTCGCGTCCTTCACATGGTGAAGTTTGTGTGAGTGGGCTTGGTGGGAAGGTGAGATGGGGGCATTGAAGGGGATGATGGGGGAGTCAAGGCGTTTGGAGGAGACCATGGATCGAGATTTCGAGCTCTTGATCAATGTGGCTCTGATACCACATGAACTTCAGATTTGAATCTGGAACTACGCTTATTTTTCTACATTGATTACATGATATATATAGAGACTGGTGTGGCTACAAGAGGGTAAGATATGAGAGAGGTTTATGTGTATTGTTACAACCGTAAGATGGCCTAGTTATCAAGAATCAGGCTCATTCTCTGTTTCAACCTGGCTATTTTGCGCTGACATGCACCTAGTATTCCATAACCTTGTCGTTGAGATTTCTGTTGTCCTGGTAAGGCCCATCAAAATGGAGCACAGACAAAGAAGGCCCAACCGAAAAAAGAAAACGGCCCAACGGAAAAACAAAAAAGTTTACCGAGGCTCCAATTTAGGGCCCACTTTTGAGCCTACTAACCGTCACTTGCTGTCGGTGTTGGTTAAGCTTTCCCTTTCGTAATTGTTGCGCAGCTCAGCATTCTTTCGAATTTCCTTTCTACCGACTGCAGTTCTCCAGTCACCCACCACCTTAACCACAATGCTTAAGCATCAATATTCTAACCGTGGAAAGAGGGGGTTATTTGTAATTTATCATTCTCATCACGTCAATCTCATAGCCGATAAGCGCTAATAAATGAGTCAAATGATGGTAATCGCTGCTGAAAATATAAATTAGAGGGGTTCCGTGTAGTAAATGCTGATCACAACTAATTGTAATTATTCCTATAATTTCATATTAGCAAAAAAAAAAAAAAAAGGTTATAACATAAGTTTGCTTCGAGTCTACTGCTTGCAGGTTTCAGGTGACTAGTCCATCTCACACAACCACTCTCTGACGCTTGCTCTTTCCATCTCTCTTGCTCTTGTGTGTTTTATAGAAGAGTGAAGCAAAAGAAGAAAAACACAAGATCCCAATGGCCTCCAAGCTGGTTCTGATCTTAGTCTTCGTCTTTGATCTCATCGCCTTCGCCCTTGCGGTCGCCGCAGAGCAACGCAGAAGCACGGTGAGAACACTCGTCGCTCAATTTGAATCTGGATTGTTCTGATACCATGTTAGCATGCACATATAGAAAACATTCTTGAAATTTTATTGGTTTTTTATTGAAAAGCATAATGAAAGCGCTATCCTACTAGATTTGAATCTTGTCCCGCGATCCTGGATAGAAGCTCTGTAGTTCTATTTGTTGGATAGATCCATGAGTGAATTTTTGAACTCTGGAGAGTCTATTTGTCAAAAAAAAAAAAATCTCTTTCTCTCAGAATAAGAGCCAAAAAGAATTTTACTCTGGGCCTATCTGCAACAATAAACTGCACCTGGATCTATCTGCAATTGTGAGATAAAACAGGGTCTATTTTTTTAAGAATGGTATTTGCATTTGAATTTGAATGACTTTAATGTTCTGATTACCACATTTAGTTTGAGATTTTCCCTCTTCTTTTTCTTTCTATTTTCTGCTGACTAGGCTTGGGTAGTAGCTGACGAGGAGAAGAACTACACATATTGTGTGTATAATTCCGACATTGCAACCGGATTTGGTGTCGGTGCCTTCTTGTTCTTGATGGTGAGCCAAGTACTGGTCATGGTTGCATCCAAGTGCTTCTGTTGTGGGCCACCCATGCAGCCCGGTGGGTCCCGCGCTTGTGCTCTCCTCCTCTTGCTCTCTTGCTGGTATGTTGCAGTGTCATGTTACTCGCAAAAATGTTCACTTCTAATTGCTTGTTACAAAGTCATCATCCCTCAACTATATTTCATTAGCACTTAATGCCTCTAAAGTCACGAGTTAGACGGGGGTAATATGCAATTTGTTCTTCCTAAAGTATCGATCCGTAAGTGTTAGGTACTACTAAAATCGTTGAAGAGTGATAAAGTGCTACTCAAGAATCAAGATACAAATGATGCGGGTTATGCGCAATTTACCCAAAGAATATAAAAACAAAAACAAAATAGAACGGATCCATTTCAAAATTGACTAAGGAATGATAAAAGTGAAAATTTTCAGTGCAGTAATTTATTTTTCCCTTAAGAAAAAAACACCTCTTACTACAAGGCTAAAATGCTCTTGATCACATTCCACCAGGATAACGTTCATCATAGCCGAGTCATGCTTGCTAGCAGGTTCAGTAGAGAATGCATATCATACCCGCTACCGAACCCTCTTCATCAACGACCCTCCGTCGTGCCAAACCCTACGAAAAGGCGTATTTGGCGCTGGCGCAGCCTTCGCGTTCTTCACTGCTGTCCTCACTGAATTCTACTATGTTTGTTATGCGAAAGCTCACGATACTAGCCTGATCTCGGCTTATGGCAAGGAGCCTACTGTTGGAATGAGCTCCTACCGTTAGATTTAACAGTGCTGGTTGATGAAATGGGGTGTTATTTTGGTAGTATATGGATGATGATAATTTTTTTTTCCTTTTCATTTGTGTAATATTTTGTGTGATGTGATCATTGGGTGGTTTATGTGTAGCTTGTTTTGCTTTATCTAATGTTTAGTAATTAATTTCCCGCATTGCCTGAATTTTTAAACCCAAAATCCGTCACTATCTTAAAACTTAATTGTTCTTATTTTCCCTAGGGATAGACAGATTTAAAAGCAAATAGTTTTAAAAGCAAATGGTGGTGTATGAGATTCAAATGTATGAACAAATCGCTAACTCTGTTGACATTGAAAGAACGCTGAATCTGTGGAGCAATATTCAATTTTTGCCACAATTTCAGAAGATTGGTACAGTGTAAAGAATTCTATAAGTGCACAATTTAGGCTAATCGGAATAAAGATAAATTTTTCTTCGAAATTTAAATGAAGGTAAGTTGAGAAACTTCTGAACAATACATGGGACTAAGTACGAGATTACGGCATTGGTAAAACTTGCCATTTCACTTGCTTAATTTTTGGAGATTAAGCCAGTTTAAGCACCTATCCTTCAAACAACCATGACTTTTGATCTAAATGTTCGATTGAGGCGATCAACATTTCTTTTTTCTTCCTTCAAAAAGAGGAAAAAAAAAAGAAAAGAAAAGAAAAAGATTGTTTTTAACAAAACTTAACCCATCAGTAGGTCTGCCTAAGAGTTATTGCCGTAACAAGTATTTTTATTCATCCAAATTACGGTCTTTCCTTAGTATTTAGTACTTGGTTCTTTTATTTCATAGAGGTTCCCTGAGTATAGTACAGATTCCAAGTTTCTAATTTTTTTAGTTTTTGATATAGAAAGATATGAGTCGTTACATGTAAAGGTTCATTTGCTACTCATCGGATTGAATCGAATCAATAAAATAAATATGGAAAATGGAGATGAAATCTAGGACAAGGTGGGGAGATAAAATATAATTGTTTGATGTAATTAGATTATCTTTATATTTCTATCGAATCAATAGAAGCAACTATTCTCTAGCCGGATTTGAATGAAAAGAATAAGAATATGCTATAAATCCCTAGTCATTTTACCCTAATGGAAATGAAATAATATTTAATTAACTTAAAATAATTAATTAACTTCATGATATTATAGTCATATTAATTATTTTACATAACTATATATAATATATATAAAATAGTTAAATAAAATTAACTATAAAAACATAGTTATACTAAGTACCATAGCATCAGTATCATTATTATTTATTAGTATATATATATATATATAACACACTAGTATTTATATTTTATTTTTTGTACTAAATTACTTTATATAGTATTTATATTTTATTTTGTATTTAATTACCTTTTGCTTTGTTTATTTTGTCATTTCAGGCCGATTTTATTATTGGGCTCTTTTTTTGAAGTATTTTCGTGTTAGTTTGTTTTCGGGGTTTATGTTTGACACAATCTATTTTGGTACGTATTCCTGTTCATTGGCTGAACTTTGAGAGTTTTCCTATCATCTCTTGTTGTTGCGCCGCTGATTAACCACCACCTCCACGGGCATTGATGGGCATGGGTGAGGATACGCGTCTCCTTGGTGGCTGCATGTTCAAAATAAACTTCAGGTACCTTGGGATAAAACTCCGCGAGCACTACAGTCTGTGAACTAATGTGATCGTATTATTAGGTTGGTGAAGATGGTCCCAAATGTAATTGAATTCCTTGGTACCATTATATTTCTTAGTTATGTTTATAGCGTATCTGACCTATTATCGTAGATTATTTCCTATTCATAAGCTTGCATTTTGGTGGGTTATTTGCCATTAATTATTCTCCAAACCGTTTATATATTTCCAAGAAAATGTTGAATCGGAAGAATTTATTTCAACAGTGGTCCCGTAACGATAGGAAGTTTCTACCAGTAGTTGTACAACAACGCAAACATGATGAGCTTCACTTGATGATAATATCCTAATAAGTTTCTGATTTCTCAGAAACTTGCAGGTTTTTACATCCAGAACCTGTAACTCTCACAGGAACACACAAGCTCACTTTCCCAATAAAATGCAAAATTTTTGCATGTTAACTCAGAGAGAAACAACTCTGAGTTGCAACAAATTTTATGAATGTGGTCCTGCTGTGCTTAAACTTTTAATATCAGACATTTCCTTAAAGAGGTAAAAACCTTCTACTGTTTAGATATCGAAATTGTTAACAGTAACTGATGAGATCAGGTCCACATTTTCCAATAGTACTAGATGAACAAGATGAGTTCTATTAAACAATTGCAGTGATCTACTTGCACTAATTTTTAGGGTTAATTGCACATAGACCCTTGTAGTACCGTTGTTTTGAGGTTATTTTCTCCAGTAGTTTCCTTGTTGCAAATAGACCACTGGGTTAAATTTATTTGATTCTTTTTCCTTCTGATAGACTCAATAATTTTACCCAGAAGTGATATTTGATAAAATTTCACCAAGGATAAAAGCATCAACAAAATTTAACCCAAGTACCTATTCGCAAGACCTTGAACAATGATACTGCATGGTGACTATATCAAAAGTAAATTTGGAGCATCAGAGCTCTGTTTTAATCTTTTCCGGGTCTTCTCCTTATCTATCAAGTATTCCATAATATTAAAGTAGAACTAAGTCACTTATACTATGGGTTTAGACATAGGATCAGGATTTGGAGAAAGCTATTCATCATCAAATTAAGTTCTATTTTTTCTACTGTGCCTAACCGTGCATTTAATCCAAACTCTACTCATTCTACTGAAACTGACCCAATAGTCTCTATTATGCTATGGGTTTAGACAGCTCAAACTAAATGAACCGCCAAATCCATTAAAATTTGGTCCATTAGCACCTTGTACTATTTCCCTTTTTGCGTCTTTCTTCAAGGTCTGTTTCTGTTTGTTTGCCAAAAAAAAAGAAGGAAATTAAGGAATAGGAAACCTATTTCCATAAATAATTATTTTATGGTTGTTTGGTTGGCTAAAAAAAGAAGGAAATCAAATAATAGGAGATGAGATAAGATGAGTTGTCACAATATTATTGGATGATGTGAGCGATTTTTTAAGAAAAGTTGTTGGATGGTTGTTTGATTGGCTAAAAAAGAAGGAAATCAAAGAATAAGAAACCTATTTCTTATAATAGGTCCTATTCTTGTGTTTGCTTCAATCTTAAAAATAGGAGATGAGATGAGATGAGATGAGTTGTCATTATATTATTGGATGATGTGACCCACACTTAAGGAAATCAATTTCCTTGTTTTTTTGGAGGAAATGGGTGGAGATGAAATGAAGATGAGATGAGATGAGTTGTCACAATATTATTGGATGATATGAGTTATTTTTAAAGATGAGATGAGATGGAGATGAGATGAGTTGGATGATGTGACCCATAAAAGTTGTTTGGTTTATTTTATTGGATGATATGAGATGAGTTGTTGGATGAAAATAATATTTTATTGGATGATGTGGATGAGTTGTATGATGAAAATAATATTTTATTGGATGTTGTGGGTTAGTTTTAGGGATGGAAATGGTGGAAATTGCACTTTTTTGATTTCCATGACTCAATTTTCTTTTTTTTAGTTTTTAGGAAACCAACCAAACAGCCCCTTCCTCAATAACATACATCATTATTTTTTTCAATCTCTAGTCTTTTTCTATGAAAAATTCAGACCTACAGACGTGAGAGCTATTCCGAGAGAAAAGAAAATAGTTAAAAAAAAAAAAAACTCGAAGGCCAATTTGGTCCTTGTACTAGGAGTCAATCTCAAATTTGTCCCCCGTACTTTATTTTATTCTCAACTTTTAGTTTTCCTGCTAAGGTTTCATACTCAAATCGGCCCTCCACTTATTTTTTTCTCAATTTGATCTCAGCATTGGGACTTCATACTCAATGGGTCCTTTTATTTAATTTTAACTTTCAACATTTTGCATTAAACTTTCAAGAACTTTCAACATCACACTAAACTCTCTAAGAACTTTCAAAAATCACCTTACACCCCCAATAACTTTCAAAATCACACTCAACTACCAATAACTTTCAAAATTACACTAAACCCCCAATAACTTTTATAGAAAACCCCCAAAGTTAACATCGTTACATTTAACATGGAACTTGCAATCCACGTGACTTAAAAAGAAAAAAATACCCCTTAAATTAATAAAATAATCCTTTATGAAATTTTTATATTTTCAATCCTTAAAATAGAAATCTTTTATTTTTTGTGATTCATTTTCCAGTTGCTCGCTCAGGTTAGGGGCATGAACCCTATTTTTTTTCCCTTTTGCTGAAATTATCATTCGAAATGCCTTTTTATGGTTCTAACTTATGAGGTCATTTGCAAAATACAAAAACTTATCGAGAATTTTCTGCAGGTCTTAAATTTATTGGGGTTTTAGTGTGATTTGGAAGTTATTGGAGGTTTAGTGTAATTTTGAAAGTTATTGGGGCTGTAGGGTGATTTTTGAAAGTCCTTGAAGGGTTTAATGTGATGTTGAAAGTTCTTGCTACAAAATGCTAGAAGTTAACATAGATTTTTTTTTTTTTTTGGCGGTATTGGTATTGGTACTCTTCGGATTAGGATGAGTGATGGGATGATGCGAAAGTTGGATGATGTAAGGTTCGTTTCATAATTGAAGATGAACATCATTTCACTTGGAGCTTTGGAGGCAGCAGGCTATAGGGTGACCTTAGTGGACGCACACTTGAAGGTTACATTGGGGTCCATGATTGTGATGAAGGGTGTCAGAAGGAGCAATTTGTATTATTTTCTCAGAAGCACGGCGATTGATAGGGAGCTGACGACTTTATCAAATTCGGCTAGATCGTTGCGTTGTTTGATGCTGGGTTATTTGATTGGTAATACCGTGCATAGGTTATTGAGGAGTGTTTTGACCTACAGTTTGAAGTCCTGTAAACCCATTGGTATGAGAAAAAAGACCGATGTGGAGTTTAACACTTCTATCCATCATTCTAGGTGTCTTCTGAGGGGTGTTCATTCAGGCATTCGGGAGCCTTCCAAGGGAGCATCATTGGGAGGTAATAGGTATGTGGTTTCCGTAGTTGAGGATTGTTCTAGGTATTGGTGGGTTGCAACCAAGTCTTATTGGTGTGAAGTCCTAGAAGCCCGCAACAGAT